CCAGGCCGGGTGCTGACGGGCAGAGGGCGGCCCCTTGGAGCCCATCTCGTCCAGCATGAGCCGAGGGCTGCGCGAGCAGGGCCAAGAGACACCCGCCTACGGCCTGCCACAGCTCGAGCCTTGTTGAAGGGGCTGGTGTCCAAGGTGCTGCCCTGAGAGTGGCGCCGCCAACTCCGCCCCGCCACCTCCAGGTGCAGAAGTGGAGGCTGCAGCCCTGGACTTGGCCCTTAAAGGCAGGGCTGGGCATGAGGCAGGGCCACAGCACCTGGTTCACTTCCTCGCTGTCTCAGTTGCTTCCTTGAGGCTCCCAAGGCCTGGCCCCATCCTGCTGCACCGCAGTGGTTGGACAAGGCTCAGGAGTCTCCGACAAGGAGCTGTTCCCGGGCCTCGTCCCCGAACAGCTGTGGCAAGAGCTGGGTCAGTGGCCCAGGGTACCAGCTCTGTCGGAAGTGCCAGTAGTCTGGTTTCTCACAACAGCGATTAAACCAGGCACGGCAGGTGCTGTGAACGCAGCACTTCTCTGCTAGGGGGGACGCAGCACCCTGAGGTGCCTTGAGAGCCTTTCTAGGATGCCACGGGGTGCTGCACCATGTCAGCCCAGTTAGGTGTGCAAACAATTTGCAAGCTAAACCCAGAGATTTGCCAGAGGCACCTGTAGCATCAAAACCCATTCTGGCTTGTAGTCTCTCAGTTCTTTGCAACCAAAGAACTGCTCTATCATTTTTCTTGTCTCAAAAAAACAAGTGAGAACTAAGCTGGCATTTTCTGAGCGTGCCTTGGGTCTAACAGGGAAATGCCTTGAGTCTAAAAAAGGCTGGGAATCACTGTGTTAAAGGCTAACATGCTCCAGGTTCTTGTTTTCAGCGTTCTTGTTATATCATGAGTAGAGCCAAGCACATTTTTTCTTATAGCTATTGAGATTTAATAGTGAAAAACAGTCCATTCACCTGTGCTGAGGGAAATCAGCTGCCTGAACAGTCTTACCAAGGTCAGAGTGTTAGAGCTGTGATGGTCCAGGGAATATGTGAAAGAAAGATTTGTTTGGACCAACTCTGTAAGGCTGGTAGATACTTAGACAAGTTTTCAAGCAAAAGATTGCCCTTCCACAGTCTGGAAAAGAAGCTGATATGGACTAAACTAATTCATCTTCCTGAGTCAAAGATGATTGTCGTCTATGATTGTCTTATCTGTGGGTCCAAAGATGACTGATGAAGGTGATTCAGGCTTGACAGACTCTGCTGCAAACTCAAAACAATTACTTTTGTGTAACTCCATTATGTAATAAACACTTTAAAAAGGAAGAGGGCAGTAAACCAGTGGAGTGAGAGAAGTTATCGGAAGTGGCTACAAAGCAAGGGGCGGTAGAAGGATAACTAATTGTCAAAGAATTAGACCATTCAAAAAGGAAGAAGGTCATTATCACCTGTGAAGTACAGAAAGGTTACCAGAGAGAGTAGGTAAATTGTAAAATCACGATGGTTTGTAGTGTCCAATAAAGTTACAAATTTTTGTTCCCTGGTATTATGTAGGTTTCCTTTGAGCAGGAAGACTGAGGTCAGAGGTAGAGTAGCAGTTCTGGGAAAAGTATTCTCCCAGTGGGAATTAGGTATTTCTATTCTTTATTATTTTTCTGTGAGAGTTCATTTTGGAGCATCGTGGTGCCCCAAATCTTGAGCCACTGCTGACAGATGTTTGTCTAACCTGCTCTTAAAAAATGCCAATGATGGACGTTTTAGAACCACTTTGTGTAATCTAGTTTAGTGGCTAGCTAGATAAATACATGACCATAACATTTTAACTTATATAAGGCTGCTGGTTACAAGGATTCTTTTTGCCTATTCTGCATGCATGTATGTGAGTATGTAGCTCTGTATGGTTGTGGAAAAAATCCTTTAGTGCTTCTGGGAACTGCCATAGCTTTTCAGACCATTGATACGTATTAGCATGTCATGGTAAAAGGTAATTTACATGTGGGTCTGCATGTTAATATATATAGGCAAATAAGCACTGGGGTTATGTAACTATTTGTGTGTGTAAGATTGTCTGAGACTCAAGTTAGGAACATTTTACTAAGTTTGTGACACTACTTTTGGACAAAGGATACTGCCTTACTTGCCTTTTTTTTCTGCTTTCCCATTCTCTACTACCTGAACAGCACATAGCAGGCTCTCTTGCAGCATCTGGTTCTTCACCACCTTGGTTATCATGGTGATGATATCACCGGTATACTTTTGTCTCTGGTTAGCTGAGTAGACAGGGTAGTACTGTGCTTCAAAGCTGTGTGTGATGAAAAAAGTACAGAGGGCTCTGACGTGTCCTTCTTGCAGCCCCAGACTCTCCAGCACTGACTCCCATACCAGTCTAATTCTCTGGTTCTTGCTTTTGCGCCTCAGTATAGAGGCTAAGGTAGGAAGACTTCTTGCTAGATCTGGCAGCTTCTGTGTCACCTGATTGTGCAAGCAGCTAATTGTTTCACTAACATAGCTGTAGAAGAGTTTTATTTCCACTGAAGTGAACCTGCCAAAAAGATAGAGACAAACCTTTTCTCAAAGAACTACTTTCCTGTGTTCAATTTATCACCATTTAGATTACAAATTGGAGATTCTGGTGGTCTTTGGCCATGGCAAGCATTGTTTTGTCCAGCTATCTGATGATAGTAAGCCTTCTATTTAAATTAATAATAGTTCTCACTTAACTTTGAAGGGATGGTTTCAGATGAGTTCTGGATGGTTTTTAATAGAATAGTTTGAATTTAAATGAACAAATTTGTAGAATTTAATTTCCTTATATCCTCATCAAAGTTCATCGCAGCTATCAGTTCATTTTCTTCTCAATTAACTTCTACCAGTCTATTACAGTTTGAGGCTATTGCTTACATTTAGGAAAAAAAAAGTAAGGCCAGCACTACTAATATGAATTCAGTTATTTAGTTGAGCAAGAAATGCTAAAGTGATTTTCCAAGGACACACAATAAACAAATTCCCTGTTCTGCCTTCTGTTGGGGCTCAAAAGACACTATTTCTAAAGGCATTGGAAAATTCTGAAACAAGATATAGGAGCTAATATTTGATGTTTAGCTTAATTTTTCCCAGTTTATCCCATGTAGTTGAAAATCAGTTTCTTTTTTTGCACTTACTGATTTTAATGTATTGCCTGCACATAGGATGTAGAATTTGAGTTCAGTTTTGAAGCAGATTTCTTTTGTCTACTTTCTCCTATAATTTAAGCCAACATTTTCAAGCATGGATGCTGAAAATTAAGCTCCAAAACCCATGTTTGTCCTGGTCCTCCACCTCAGTTCTGCAAAGGTTAAAATGTGTGTCATTTTATTCATAAAATTAGTCCTGTTGGTTTAAAGGAACTACTCATGTCCTGAAGTTACACATCAAATCTTCATAGGATCAAAGTCAAAGACAGCTAAATAAGTGGCCTGTGTTTGAAAAGGTACTGAACACCTGCAGCTGTCATTGCTTTCTATGGTAACTGTGAGTAGCTCAGGACATTTTGAAAAACGTTTAGGCCACTTATTTAGATATGGTTATTGGAGCCTAATTTCAGATACTGAGAAGTGAAAGTTTGGACTTATTTGCTGTAAGAGTGGTACCATTATCTTAATAGAATCTTGATTGTTCTTGCTTACCATGGGACAATATCATACAAAAACACCTTATTAGAATGTACAGAATCACGGGCATTTCTCTGGTATTCTTAGGGACTATATGGGTATTTTAAGTGTACTAATTAATGTCTTTTTGGATGTATCTGCAATTGAAATGGAATATGTTTAGTTATTCCTTGGAGTGCCAAACTCGGTGGATTTACTTGTAGCAACAGAGAATTTAAAGTCACTTCCTAAATATGGAAAATAATGGTGTCCCTGTGCTCTGACTGCAGGATAATCTTGTTCAGCTTCATCTGTATACAGTATGTTCCAGGTCTCGTATCTGGTTGGAGACTGGAGAACTGTGAAGGCAGAACTAAAAGGGTTCTCTTTATAGCTCACCTGTCCTCCAGCAGTGATGTCCACATTTCATCCTGGCTCACTTGCTCCTCCAAGGACGTGCCCTGAATCTCAAACTTCTGGGTCAGTTTCTCTAGGGTTGAATCCAGCTCTTTGAATTTATTCTCTAAGGTCTGCAGTTTGTTTTCTATTCTGTGAAATATTAAAAAACATAACTGTGTTATAACATACTGTGAACAAACTTCTGTCCCCAAAGTGGAATTTCTTCTTTATAATGACCAATTCTTGCTCCTGTTTTGGTGTATCCACAATTTACTTTAAAATTGTTCATTCTTTTTATAGGTATTTACTAGGCAAGCTTCACATACACCACATGGTTTGGACATGTTCACACTGGCCTCAGCTGTCTCAGAAGAAGTTTTAAAATTGTTAGTGAAATGGAGTTTTACATTTGTGTTTGAGTCTTAAGTTTCAAATAATTGCTTCTGCTTTCTGCAGCTATGGAGAATTTCTGTGCATATCTTTTCAGATTTTTTTGAAAGTATTTCAGAGATCATTTGAGTCCCCTAACTATCTCTGCTAGCACAGCCATCACCCACAATAATTTCCTAATCCTTATTAGCTCTCCCTGTGACAATTTTCTTTTTATAAGAAGACTTTTTCCTAGCATGCCTTTCAGGAGATGGCCCTTTATATCTACCAGAACAATAGTCCTGCACTACTACAGATGCTGTTTTGAAACTTGTAGCTGTGATCTTGTTTCTTTCATTTAGTAAGTATGTGTTCATTTTTATTCTCATTTGGGGGAAAAGCATAAATTTTTATATTCTCCAGGAATTGTCACTGAACTCAATTGAAAGATTTTAGAGTTTCTCTGTAAGGCTTGTTACATCAGAAACTTCATGTTTTAAGCGGAAGGCTTCATGTTTACCCTGTGAACATATGAGGCTTCTAGGTGTACATTCCGTGGTCATTTACCATTGTACTATACATCTAAAGAGTTGGCTTTAGGGTATTACCGTCAATTAAGTGTATAGCTATATTTCAGTGCAAGACTCTTCTATTTATGTAGCTTCTAACTGTTCTGAAGTCCATTCATCTAACACCAGCTCCATCTATACAAGAACAGCCAAAACCATATGCTTCCATTAATCTTGGGCATTTGTATTAATGTTGTTCCTTTATCAACCAACTCCACTACGGTGTTGACTTTTGATTCTACTGTTTAAGTTAGTGTCTACAGCCATTTCCCTCAAAAAAGATTTATGAAATATGCAACTGCACTGACATATTTTTGTGCTGGTCTCTCTGACCATGACTTCCTTTTCATGTGACTTTGTACAGAGTCTTGGCTAAGAGCCCTTTTGCATTGTTCATCCTGATAAGAGAGGAAAGGTATGGGACTAAGACTCAGGAAATCTGGTTTCTTTTTGCAGCCTTGCCTTGGACTTCCTGTGAGACTTTGCAGAAGGCAATTAAGTGTTTTTCCTTTAAAATTTTAGGCATAGGCTTCTCTTGACTTTCATAAATGTTTTCCATCTTTAATAGGATTAATTTTACCCCACCTGTGTTGGGGTTGGGGACTGTTTGTGGAACATTTAGCACAATGGGGTTGTCATGTCAGTTGGGGTTTGTAGGTGTTACATAATAAAGCAGAGAGAGGCACAATAGTTGCGGTTCTTCCTGTTTGTGTCAACATTTTGCAATTAATTAAAAAACATCCTTTGTTTTAGGGATGCTTGTAACATTTTCTATTTTAGCTTTTTGGAAACATCCATGCAAGAGAAGATGGTTGTGTATAAATGTTTGTCAAAAGGAACTTTTCAGCCTATAGCAGAGACTTAAATTGCAAAAGCATATTTGTTTAATGAAAAAATGAAATTCACAGTGTGTGAAAAGTGTGCTAGTTTTATAAAAATTAGCAAGAAGCATGGGTTTTTGTTGATTTATTGGGCTGTTTTTCAGACTAATTCCATCTAAAATGGAGTATATTCGTTCAGGCGAGACTGACCTATGCTTTTAGTACTGAAGGTGCAAGAGTTAAAACAGTAGCTTACTCAGAACTAGCTTGCCTACTAGAAGCATTATAATTGCACAGTCAGAGCACTCTGTTCAGGACTAGCTTGCATAACATGTCTGCTGTGTTATGTCGAAATAACATTATCTTATGTGTTGCTGTTCAGTCAAGTAACAGGGCCAAGGCTGTGTGTGAGTAGTTGCACAAATTACACAACTCTACTGTAAAAAACAAAACAAAACAGGATAAATACAGCAAAGAGCTTGTGAGAATTGTATTGACTGAAATGTTTATGTAAATAGCTGCTGGAGAAAATACTGGACAAATGCAATCATAAGAGTGTAGATAATCCACCAAGAGATAAAAGGATTGCATTGACTAAATTAATCGCTTGATATAAATTGCCCCTTCAATTCCTATCCGTGAACCATTACAAAGATTCATGGTCTCTGTTTTACTCAGATAATAGCATAAAATGGTCAATAGACTTAATTACTGACAAAAATTGCTTACCTGTGTTGCAGTAGTTTCTCTTGGATGCCTGTGGGTTTGATATTCCAGCACCTTTATTTTTCCAACCCTTTTTGTTTTAAAGGTAAACTGCCAGTCTGTAAACTACTTGCATATAGTTAAAATCCACTATCAGACAAGCACTGTTGTATTTGGAAATGCCAACACTAAAAATATCAATTTTTAGTCCAGGGATCACCTAAAATTACGAGGTGGCTTTATCATACGATGATTCACAGAAATGAACCTTTAATGACAGGACTAAGCCCAGAAAACTCTACCGCTTTGAGCATTTGGGAAGTAAGCCAGCTCTTCTACTCTAATCAATATTCATTTTGTCAATGACAATGGATTTTCCCTTTATCTGATGAGGATGACAGGTTGCTTGGCATTTTAAATAGCTTGTATTTATTTTTTGGGTTCAGTTTATGGAACAGGAAATTTTAAGCTGACAAGCAGTTTGTATGTCCATAAATTAATGTTGGCAAACATCAGGATATTCCCACCAGGAAGAGGGAGAGAGGTGAAGCTAATGGACTGGGACTTGGGTCTTGATTATATTACTACGTAGCCACTGAATTAAAGTAAATTTTGATTTCTCCATGTCTTGGTTTCCTTCAATATAAAATAGGAGCAAAAATCTCTTGCAATCTCATGAGGTCTTGTGAGACTTCATTCAATAATATTTATTAGGTACTCTGGCCCTAGGATGAGATGTACCATACGTATGTGAAAATGTTTAAAGATAGGCTGTGCCCTGCTTTCAGAAGAGGTCTTCCATTTCATCTCAGTCCAGCTCTGTCTGCTATTGCACACTTGCATCTATGTAAAAAAAACTGCCACATGATCCAAAAATCCATCAACTCATTTGCATGATGATGCTTTAAAAGCTATTTAGCTTGCTATACATTCCCCATAGAATCCAGAGCTACAGCTTTTCCTTAATCCAAACTTTCAATGAAGCCCAGGAACTGGTTTAAGAAACAACTGCCCCTTCCTGTTACCTTTTATTAATGGCTTTTAATGGTGGTTCTTATTTTATATTTTTTCCTTTTTGATTCTGGTATCCAATGGGATTACCACTAGATGAGTAACTGTTAATGTCAATCTTGTTTTCTACAAGTACAAAACAAATTCTGATTCTTTACCAGAAAGGTTTTAAAAGCTTTCTGCTGCTCTTCCTGTAAATGTAGAGAACTATGCTGGGAACACACCTAACAAAAGCTTAGCACTCACATACTTATTATGAAGGTTACTGAATGCTACTTGGAATATATTTTAAGTACATTATTTTAACATTCCTGTTTTTTTTATCACTGAGTTTAGGCCCTTCCCAAACATTTTCCATGCTGTAATGCCTAGATATTTATTCCTTTAGAGCTGCAACATAGACATGTGGGTTTTTTTTTTCCTGGACAATACAAAGCCCAATATTCTTGTATGGTACAGCATATCCCACACAGTTCCCATCTGTCCTTGTTTCATATCATAAACCATACATTTTAACACTTCTTAAAAATAATTAAAATTTCAATCCCCAGAATTTTCATTCTGCTTTTACTTGAGGAGCCATATTAATGCAGTTATGGAATATACAAACTTTTAGACCTCTGGTATATCTAGTTTGATATCTTATATCTGGTTGTTACCATGTGCTCCAGAGAGAAGCATAAGAACTTCTGTAACAAATCAGGAGAAACCAGTTTCTACTGTAGGAGAAACTTTTTGCTAACCCTATTGTCTAGTGGATGATTCATGTCCTGAAGCATGAAGGCTTGCTTCTCTCTATAAATTTCCAAATGTGTAGTTATTCACTTAGATCACAGCATTCATTACACCACCTAACAAAAACGTGTCAGCCCTTCTCTTTCTACACTGTTCTACGTGGCTCAATTACTTTTTTTCTATGTGAAATATGCATGACATGACACACTGACTTTGAATCTGTGTATCTGTAAACTGCATGTGTTGCTACTTTTCTTGTCCTTTTATATACACATGCAGCAGCTGATTTTGGAGGACATGCAGTTACCTTATGTAGAATGAAGACCCTTTATACATTACACCAGCAATACTTAAGACCCATTTTGGTTAGATGGGTTACATCTGACACACGTGCATTGTGCATTACAAGACTTCTCTAGCAGCTGTCTTCCTTCTGTTACCTCTTCCTTCCAAACCATCTCCACATATTGGTCATGTCAACATGGTAAGCACTTGATCAGTACAAGGGAATATCAATATACTGGTACAAAGCACAGCTTTGCTGGCATGGCATAATAAAACCAAACCCAGCAACTGAAACAAAGCTATACTGGTAGAGGTACATTTTCGGAGGTATAATTGTCTACACTGTTTTTTTTGCCAGCATAGTTTTTTTTTCTATGCCTCTTCTGCCAATATAGCTTCAGGGGTATGAAGTCTGGAGTTGAGGTATGGTCCTAGAACCCAAGTAACTATTTGAAATTCAGACTATCAAATCTTTGGGGAAAGGGTTGCGATTGCCTTGTCAATAGAGCTGTTAGGAAGGGGGCATGTAACAGTGGTTTATATGTCTTGTTATTGTTCTGGAGGTGAGAGAGCAGGTCTTGAACTGGATTTGTGTCAGATGTAACCCAGCTATAAATGGATACATAGTCACCCAGAAAAGAGAGCCAAAGTGGCTGGATGTCAGTCCCTTAGCACCAGAAATTGGTGTGCCTTAACCATACTAGCCTAAAAAGCTGCTAGGCTTAGGTGGACCTTTGATCCCTTCTGATAACTTCTAGGTCAGTGAGGTTCCTAATCTTGAATTGGGGAATATGAATATATATAGTCATAATCAAAAATACAATATTTCTATATTCAAAATTTTAAAATTCCAAATAATAAAAAATTCTGTATTTCTGCATAGATATTAGGGTGCAGTTAATTAAACTAATGTTTCTATTGGCAATGCTGGGACATTTGTTACAGTTGTCACTCTTACTACAGCACTTAAATTGATAATTACATTTTAGTAACAAGGATTTATATCTCTTTCCCATCCAGTAACTGCAGAGCATTTTCAGATCTACTGTCTTTGCTTTAAAATTATCCTGGAAATTATTGGCCATTTATGATAGAAAAACAGCCTGCAAAGTAAGGAAACTAGGTTACATTTGATCTTGCTACTGCTCATGCCTCTATTACACTAGGAACACTATGTACTGACTAGAGAGAATTTTTAGTGTCGCACTGCAGCTGAACAGGTGGACTGATGCCAGTAGGGGTAGCGGAGCCAGACTATCTTGTATAAAGCCAGCAAACATGTTGGTCAGTTTATACAAGTTTCCTTGATTACAGTGTTTAAAGAAGAACTGTGGCACCACCCCCCCACCCCCCCAATCCCTCCTCGCCTCAGCATACCAATCCCCTTGTCATTGCCCTCCAGATTCTCTGGAGGTATACTATTTAAAAATAAGTGTTTTTTTTCTAAAAGCTTTTTTGTGTGGTTGCATTATTCCTTTTCCTGACTTTTGAACTTACCCGATTCTGAACTGCCTGCCTCAACCTAAAACCACCTGCCCAGAAGTAAGCACTATCAGAACATTATATGGTTGGGAATGGAACCTTTAGAACCTCCTGATAGCGTGTTACAGTTAATCAGTAATTTTTCCTAAGACATCACTCATTGGTGATCAAATAGCTGCATTCAGGTTTGTGGCAAATACACCAGGGTCACAGGGTTAAATGTCTTCAAGCTGCGCAGACGTTTTGTTCATGAAACTGCACAGCTGGTTGCTTTTCAGAGGTAAAGCAGCCCAAGATTCCCCATGGTTTTATTTAGTTCGACAATCCCATCAATCTGTCTACATTTATTTTCTAGGAAGAAACAAACACAAACTCATGTAATTTACAGACCCATGATTACTTTAGTGTTAGTGTCTTCCTTCATCCCACCACCCTATACTCCCATCCCAGTAAAGTGGAGTCTTGCCTTATTCCTCAATATAATACTAACAACACAACACATTGTGACCTGTTTAATGTCTTGTTCAGGGAGTGCAGAGAGATGGCCTCTTTAGTCATCTTCATGGGGAACAAGGATAGAAGAAATAAAATTTGAACAGGTTGGAATCGTGCTTGATCCTCTTCTGGGGCTGTCAAAGATAGCGTGGATCAGGGATCCAACTCCTGCTGATCGTTTTGCACTGAAACTTTTTATAGACTGTACATCTAAATATAGTTCATAGACACACATGCAGGCACATGTCCATGGACATTTGGCGTATTGAATTACAATTTTAGTTCAGCTCTTCCAATATAATGAGACTATTTTTCTTTATAGATGATCTGAAAAGGCATCTGGGCCCTATTCTGCTGCTTTTTGATGTATTAACTTGTTCTGGTCAGCATAATAGCTAATGTCTCAGTACACAAGCAGCTTAGCTATTATGTTTTTATAGGCATCATGTAAAGGATGGATCTGGATGAGGAGAGTTTTAATGGATGTTCATGAAGGTTTCCTCCCAAGTGTAGTGGATAGAAAGGGAGAAGGCACAAAGGTACCCATTTGAAAATGTTCACACAGCTGATGGTGATGGTGTCTGGTATTGGGGAAGGCTGAAAGGTTTCATACAGTTTGCTTGTGTGCCTGTATTTAAAAAATGCAGATGCTATCTCATCTAGAAAACTGATAACTAGATAGGACACCACAAGGACCAAAGGCTCTTGAAACTAGAACTCAGTTGTCAGTTCAAGTAGTTAATACGTTTTTCCATGATAGTCTGGATGCTGTACAGATACTGCTGGAACATCCAGACTAGCATTGCCTCACCCGAAAGGCAACAATGAAACTCAAAATTTAGAATTTTCTTTCTTATTTTCATCCCTGACACACTAGCTTCAACTACAAGCTGTGTCTTATGTCTGCTCCTCCTAACAGCTGGAGGGAATGGGGGGTGGATAGGGAGGGGTAGGGTTCATGGAATGAATATAAATTGTTAGTCTTAAAGCTGTGCATCACTTCTTGCTCTTTTATTTCTCCTGTCTCCCTTTCATAATTCATTTCACTCATTCATTTCTTGTTTCTCCCATTACCCTTTTCCTGCTCACCTTTCTCCTTGCCTTCCCCTCCCCAACTCCTTAATTTGTGTGAGGAACTTATATATACTGTAACAACTTTTTAAGTACCAAGCAATACATTTCATAGTTGTTAGAGACTAAAACGCTAATTCCAGAAGTGACTTAAGATTGTGATCCTCATGAGCAGAAACAAAAGGACAAAAATAAGAATAGCATGTGTATTCATACAGTAATAGCGATGGTACTTTAATACCTCAAAGTCATAATTGACAGTAAACATTGCTTTATTGTGGCATTAGAATTGTAGGAGTTCCACATTTTCAGGAGAGCATCGAAAGGGTTTGAGTATGTATAAATGTAAAGATTGTTTTTATCATTAACTGGTGTCTAAAGATGTCTACTGGATTCCTTGGAAACTAACTTTCAGTTCACAGATTTGCTCTCTTATTAAAATAGTTACTCCATCTCCCTGGTTATATTACTCCTTGTTATGTAAAAACAGCTGCTAAGATTTACATTATTAAAGAGTTTAAAACAAAAGATTGTCCTCTGTATAGAGGAATTTTTCAGCAGATTTACCCATTGTGCTTTGTACATATAGAAGTCTACCTGAAAATAACTAAATGTAACTGGGTGAACAGGTCTCTAACCTGTGCAATACTGCCCTCCTGGAACATCAAAAAAGCAGGATATGCCGAGAACATAAATTCTTGTCTCCTTGGGCTACTTCCCTTTCAGAGAAGCAGAATATGCATTATCTAATTAATATTGCAGGATACCATTTCTTCCCATTTTTTTAAATCTGAGAAGCATATCTAAATCCACCTTAAGGCCAAATTTTGCTTGCTCATCTCATATCAGTATCCTGTGAAGTCAACAAGACAATTTGTGTAAGGCAGATAGTCAGATTTGGCCCTTTGTCCACTTTTATTTTGCAGTTAAAGTTATAAAATGCTCTTCTTGACACTTTTGAAAGCAGAAGCACAAGGGGACAACGAAGGGAAAAGGCTTTTATTTACAGATTTAATAGCTAACATCTCTTCTGGGACATTACACTTTTTTTTTAGCTTGGGCCAGGTAAATAATCAACATTCTTCCCCTTCCTTATGTCTGCTCCATCATGAAAATCCCATTGAATTATTATTTACTGCGTTTAGTTTAACATAATTCATAAATGTTTCCAGCCCATGTTTTCAGCTGCTTCAGTGAAGATACTTTCCACTTATGAAATTATGTTCAGTTTAGGTCAGACTGCCAAAATTTTTGAAACAGAAAAAGTAAAGGAAAAAAACTAGAGATGAAGCAAAGAAAGCTAGTAGATTGGCTATTTTGTAGGGATCTGGGTGGACTTCAGCCAATTGCATCTTCATTAAAGCTTATCTCACCAATTGATTTGTTCTGGGATTGTTTTAGTTTACATAGAGGAGTCCAATACTTTTGTCAGACTGAAGACTTTCTTTCCCATTATTTCAGCATTTCCAGACTGAAACATGACTGAACCTGCTATGTATCACCTTCATGTTCTGAGGGTGCAATTCCAAAAACCATTTAAGCAGCCACACCTCTATTTAAGATTTACATTGAAGTTGGGCCACAACTGCAAAAGAATCCATGCACATATGTTATGCATACAGGCAAGTGATGCCACAGCTAATCCCCTGCCACTTCTAAATATGCAGGAGTTTTAGTTGTTTAAGCTATAAACAGGGACCTCTCTAAAGGGTAAATGGAAGAGAAGGCCGTCTAGAAAAATCAGCTACACCAACTTAAATCACCCCAAGGAATTAGCTGCTTGTGAAAAATTCCTTAAAATCTTTTAATGTCTATGGCTCAGTTAGAGGATACACTGTTATGGAACTACTCTGATCAGCAACGAGTACTCTCTTGGAGCCTTTGAAGTCTGCACATGAAATCCAATTCACCTTCTCTCCATGTTCAATGCTTAGTTTTGGTAGGATTTTGGCATGCTCATTTGTAACCACTGCACTGGGCTTCCCAGCTCTTCTGGTCGAAGCAGGTGCCCTGGTCTTCCTCCTGTGGATGGATTTCACAGGACTCTTCTGTTGCTTCCCAACTTCACTGTTGATATCCCACAGCAACACCTTCCCATCATTTCCACCACTCAACAGCCAATAGGTTTCTGGCAGGAAAAGAACTTGTGATACTCCCAAACTGTGGCCTTTAAACCCTAGCTCCTGTTCACACTTGACACCTGTTACCCTGAAGATCCTTATTTTACCATCTTCAGCACCACAAACAAAGATATTGCCACATGCGGCCACAGACAGAGAATGGGCTAGTGGAGGGTTAAAGAACTGGCCAGCTGATTGCTGCTCCACCTCCTCTGCTTCACAATCCTGCAAGGTTGTGGTCCACAGTGGGCGAGCTTTCTGCAGGTTCCACAGCATAACCTTCAAATAAAATGAGAAGAATGACTTCTGTAGCCCCAACCTTGTCTCCCAATTTGATTGATAACACTAAATCATCTGAAGAGAACTGAAAGTATTGAGATCTTTTCTGTAAGATTACACACTAAATTCCTCTTGCATGTCAGACTGCATTCAGATTGCACAGATCCTGCATCTCTTCCAAAACAGCTGGTGAAGGTCAGCTGCTAATTAAAACATCCTTAGTGTAAACAGAATTTTCTGCATCTAATGAAACAGTCTTGCTTTAGGATAGCTAAACATTTTGCTTTTTAGGGTGTGAAAGTGATGAAGAAATCACTCATGCTTTAGTAATCATCTGGGGAGCATCAGCCATGACACACTGAACATCTTGCTTATAAACTGTGCAACTGAAAGATAAAGTTTTAATGGTGACCAATAATAGGATTGAGAGTCATTTTAAAATTTTAATCCAGTTCGTGCTTACTTTCTTGGCTTTCGGTACCCTATTTCATTTGCTTTTCTCTCCGACATGGGGATAATGCCTATTTCACAGGGGTGCTGATTTTTTGTACAGCACACTGAATATGTGAAATAATGGAATAATGGAAAAGAACATTTCAGTCTCACACTACTTTACAAAATCCAGTAATACAAGTTTTTCATATTAATTTCAGTGTGTTGAAGAAAAAAACAAATATCCCCATTTAATTTACATCCTTTGTAGCTTTGCGCTAGTGCATGAGAATTAAATGGAACTGACAATAGGTGCATGTAGCTTCACTAGGCAAGCTGAGTAAGAGAGAGAAAACAAGTTATTTTTAACTGGCATTAGACCCTTGAAGCACAACTTGCAAAACCACACACAAGGACTTTAGCTACATGGTTTCCATGATCAATCACACAGCGAACAACTCATATTTCACACACTGTTTACTGAAAGCATGAGGTGTTCTTAGTTTCCATACAGTCACTACCAAAACACTGTATATTATGGTAATATGGTAAGGGATGATACCCCCAGGCAAGTGTGGTGTGAGATCATTTTTTTTTTTTTTTTAAGTGTGTTGCTTTTTTTTTCCTCTTTAAACACAGCACCACCAGAAAAAGCCCCATACCAACAAATATGCTTCCACATGAGAGCTCTGACTCCCTGCACAACCAATAAGTATTCCCTATGAGCCATCCAACGGAACTAATGCAATAGTTGGCTTTGGCTACTGCTCTAATGTATGCATATGGTATTTACTATTCTCAGTCTAGCAGAACTGAAAGCATTAAACTCAATCTCTCAGGCTCATCACTGCACCACTGATGAACTGTCTTTATCAAACCCATTATTTTGTCATTAATAAACAGCACATCAATATCTATGAACTCCAATAGACAGAACTTCTACATTAGACTAGAAAAATGGTTCTCAACCTTTTTAGATTCAAGGCACCCCCACCCTGGCTTGTGGCATCCCTAACTAGACTAGAGGCACCCCTTGTAAAATGCCGGCTCTTAATTTTTATTTGTTTTTTTGACTACAGAAAAATACTGGGGCAATTCTTCCATTAGGAAGAACTCAGAGAAACCACAGATCAGAATGTTTTTGACACTACAGGGTCCTATCTTGTGAATCATGGTTGAACACCTGTGTGTGGCACCCTGTAGCACCCTTGAAAGTATTTCAAGGCACCTTAGGCTGCTGTAACACCCCAAGTTGAGAATCACTGGACTAGAAATCTCAAACTGTAGTCCATGAGGGGCTTAGTTGTTGCATGCTGCTCATTTCCATAAGCTAAAATGCATTGATACCCAAACTATACATTTCCCTATGGCTGTTCTAAACTGTCATTTAATTTGCTTACCAAACTCAGCAAAATGCAAACAAAATAGTTGTCCCCTTTTCCATGATAGCTATTGCTAATCTCAGGGGCACTATTTGTTCACGGATAGCCTTAAAATAGACCTCTAAAATAAGGGTTTGATCCTGAAAGCCCTGACCTCAAAGGGCAATCCTTTACATCAGTGGAACTTCCATCATGATACAACCACATTAAGATTGCTAAAGAACCAGAAACTACTCTTACCACCCTAGAGTAAGAGAAAGGAGTGAGGTAGAATGAATATCTAATTGCATACCATTCAGCCAGTGTTTAAAAAACTAGCAATCATCCATCTACTTCCATACAAATCACCTTCATGTCTAGTCCACATGACACAAGACTTTGAGGCCTCTGAGGTCGAAACGCAACAGAGGAGCAGATATTTGAATGTCTCCTGAGGGACCGGCTGACTTTCTTGTTCTCCAAGTCTATAACCTTGATTGCCCCAGAGTCATCAGCTGCAGCCAGGACACTGTCTGTGTCATTCACAGAAAGGCAATTGATCTCTTCCTCATTTACGTGGAAGCATTCAATAGGCCCCTTAAGGCACCTGACATCCAGCAAGCTAATGGTTTCCCCATGAGATGTGTATAGCCTACTTGGGCAGGTGGGAGAGAATGTTACACAGGTGATATCATCTGCTTTCTGAAGCTGTATCTGTCCCAATGGAATCCCTTCCTCATTCCAGATAGCAAGCTCGCCTGCCTCTGCTCCCGAAGCTATCAGCCCTTCTTTGTTCACATTCAAGCACAGTATAGAAGAGGAATGTCCATCGGTCCACTTGACTGCCATGATGCTTCAAGGGATTCTGTGAAAGAAGAACAGAGTTAGGCAGTTTTTCCTATTACAGTAGAAAGTTTATCTAAGTATGTAAGACTACCGGGTTGCTGATGAAATAACATGAGCATGTGAGCTGCTAGTCCAAGGTAAAATGGGCACTTGTGCAAGTTTGAGTGCACGCACACCAGTCTGTATGCTTACAATACTGACTCCTTAGAACAGTGGAACGGTACATTGTTAAAAGTGCTTGTATGCAAATTGTTGAACTACACCACCTTGTGCAGCTATCTAGATTAGGGGTTGGCAACCTACAGCCCATGGGCCAGCTCCTGCCCACAGAGCCATTTAATGAGATCTGGAGATGTGGGGCTTCAGAAACATTCAGTGGCAGGATGGCTCTGGCATCAGTTGCTCTCCCCTGCCTTGGTGGGAAAAAACAGTGGAGGTGTCCTAGCAGTTGCTCCTCTCTGACCTGAACAGTCAGTCCAGGCCAGAGGAGGTGAAAGCTACAACCTGAAGCCTTAACAAATTCCTTTGACTATACAGTCACTAGATCACCAGTGTTTGACTCACTGCAGTGTGAGAGTCTTTGCTATTTGGAACAAGAAGAGTGATTCAGGAGGCAGATTGATTGTAATCAAGTTTCTTTTCCTTTCTTTTCTTTTTTTTTTTTTTTTTTAAATCATCCTCAATCTACATGAGGGGCTGGCAACATTTTTGGCCTGAGTGGCAAAAACACCTGCAACCTTGACTTGTAAGATGTTGGCGTGCTTGTGTGAATGGTGGGAGAGCTGCAAGGGGCCTGATCCTTATTGTGGCAGTGCAGTCCTTGCCCTGGGGCATGCGTGCCAAATAAAATGGCTTCATATGCCATGTGGCACATGTGCCAGAGGTTGCCTACCCCTGATCCACACCATCAGCTTCACCTGGTTTTGCAGAGAAGCCCCCTACCAGGGAAAGCTAAATCAGGTGGCTTGGCAACTAACAATGTTGTCAGCAATTCCCCGATGTGAGAACAACCGCTACTGCGGCTCATCAGCAGCTTGAGGACTGGACTCAAGACCCATCCACAGGCATCACCGGTCTTTCCACAGGGGAGAGCGGGCTGGGATTCCTCTCCTTTCCCTTCCTCCGCTCTCTCCTTTGCTTCAAGGGCGAGACGTTCTGCCGAGAAGCAGGCGGCCGCACGACCGAGGCTGCAGCGCCCATGGGGTGGGGTGGGAGCTAGCTCCTCCCTACTCCTGTCGGCCCGGGAGTGCTTGGGCAGGACAGGAGGCGCCACCTGCCCGTGGGCAGGGCGGGGGTCGCTGCCCACAGCCCTAGGAGCGGTGCTTCGATTCTTCCCAGCTCGGGGCCGGCGGCGTCGCGCGGGGGCTGCACAACGGGTGGGAACGAGCGTCGAAGCCCGTTGGGCGGCCCCGCCCCAGCGCCTCCCACACCTCCGACCGGCCAAGGCCGCAGGGGGGCAGGAGCCGCGCGGGAAACACGAACTCGAAGCTGTATTCCCCTCGCCTCTGTCCATAAGGACCCCCGCCCGCGCGGCCACGCCCGGGGGCACGGGCACAGCCGCGCAGACTAAAGCGGGGCCTTAGCTTTTCCCCTCCCTCGCAGAGGCCTTGGGTCCCCCGCGCCGGACAACAAAGGCGGGGAATTACCTCCAACCACACCAACAACTCGGCATCCTCGCGTCTCTTCCGGCGCAGTTTGATGACGTAACCCGAGAAGGGAGGGCTTTTTTTCTCTTGCATTACCACCCGCGCGTTCCCTACTGCGCATGCGCGCCCGGCTTCCTCTGACAGCTGTGCCCTCAAGTAAAATGGCGGCCCGCATCCTCGCCTCCCTCCTCCCGCCCAAGCAATGACAGCGGGGCCTGGGGCCGGGGGCAGGGGGAGGCGTC